GCCGCTCCTTCTGGTATCCCGGACAGGGAAGTATTGGGTACCTTGGCTCCCACGATTTTGTCTCTGATATTTTCACCGACGTAGCAAACAACGGCAACCAATGGCCACAGGCGAAGCTTCACACGCAATGGCCTGGCACCGGTCGCATTGGCGACTCAACATTCGGCGCTTTCTACGGGAGCCAGATACAGTTCCAGACCGATCGCTTCATAAGCGAAGAGCAAAATGCGCAGGCGTATTCAGCTCTAGTTGACCTTGTACGCGAATGTTATATCATCAGTCACTCACAGGCGGGTGCATACGGTATCTTCAGCCCAACACTATGACTCGCCGAAGTGGTTAACGATTGAGTAGGCTGGAGGGTCGGAGACATGCGCCCAGGCCTAGTCAAAGGTATTGTCCAGCTCGAGCCGTCTGGTCCACCGTTCACGCTCCGCCCGCCGTTTGGAAATCGCCCAGCTTTCGCTTTCGGTCTCACCGACCTTGCAATCGGATACGAACCTTCTGCAGGCAAGAATGCCGAAAATATTGAGACAACCATCGAGCCAGCAATCGACGCCGACCACGACGAGTGCATCATGCAGAAGTCCCCAGCGAAGCAGTTGACGAACCTGGGCAAAATCCCACAACTTGTTGTTACAGGCGAAGCATCGTTCCATGCACCATACGATTATTGCACCGTGAAGTATCTGGAGCAGGCTGGCGTAGACGTTGAGTACGCGGATCTAGGCAATGAGGGTATTCATGGCAACGGACACATGTTATTCATGGAGAAGAACAACCTTGAGATCGCAGACCGGGTGTACCAGTGGCTGAAAAAGCACTAATCAACGCATAATAAAGAGTCAATTTCCTCACTGCGTTGTTCCATGGTGTTTGCACCTTTAATGTAGGTCATTGACCGCCAGGATCTTTCTTCCAGTGCATTTGACCAAACTGTGGCTTTCAATAATTGCCTAATCCTGAGATTCGTGAGCGCTATTCGAGAACTTGACTAATCAGCGAAGTCGAGAGATTCCCTATACCAAATTTGCATGCCATGTCGAAGAACTTGGCTCGAGAGAGAAGTCCGCGGGTTTGGGCCTCAGTATTCCCCATATCAACCCCGAAGACTCGATACTGTGCTAGCTCCGTCATGGTTGTTAGGTTCGAGCCCTCGAGAATTCGTCAGCTGTATGCTGGTGGTGTATGCCACCAATCAGCTGCTTGTCAATAATTCAATCCACACCCGCTTCTTCGCATTAGGCATCAACTTTTACATCAGCCAATATGCCCAATTTTTCCCTTTTTCGAGAATAAATATTTATTACCGCCCGAAGCAATTTACCGACCTGTCGGGACCGTTATAGGGAGAAGGAGGAAGGTATCACACACACACGATCAGTCGTTCGTTAGGACAACGTCATCCTGTCACTTCTAAGGCAAACACAACGTATAATTATAGAGCACATTTCTCGTTCGATGCTCTAAACATTGTGGCAGGATACCAGCTGCATATACTGTTTGACCGCCCTCGCGCAAGGCATGGCTCATTTACCCCGACCCTAGTTCACAACAGAAAACAAACTAGTTAGCTTGAGCCTCCGAGTCTACAATCAGTACTGACAGTGGATTGATAGTGGTGACATCTAACGGCGTATCGGTAATCACGCGTCTCGGATTTTGGAAATGCCGCCGTTGAGTCAACCATGAATAGATCACATTGCGAAAATGTGGAAAACTGAAAACCGGAGCATTCTTGGTGACATTGTATCTTTCCGAGGCCGCCATAGGCCGGATAGACGGAGCGGCGGCTTGCCACTCATTAGAGAACGAATGGGTCTCGTGCGAGCAAAGGAAAACACAACCGCGGATCGGGTTTTAGCCTTCGTTCTGTTGCCAAAGCTTGCGGGATATCCCAAATACCTGACATACACCAACAGCGCCTCCTAAGCAACAAAGACCCGTTCCATCTCCAGGCTGACTGCTATCAAGTCTGGCGTTGTATCGCGTGCCTGAACCTTTGCAGGCTTTTGGAACTTCTTCTCCGACCCACAAATCAACCTTGATCCACTGTCCCTTTGGCTGACACTGAGATTCAAATTGTCGGAACACTTAACAAATCATTTCACACCCGTTGATTGCGGGATACATGTCAATAATGTCGTATTTCAACATCAAGAGATTAAAACTAGTGAGTAGATGTCATCTGAAATTAGATTGCAAGAACCATTCCACTTCGAAATTGTACATTGCCTCAATCCGGTGAAGAACTCTCTGGGTGTGTTTCGGTAGCAACAGAAATCGGTCTTTCAGACCTTCGAGGCGCGGTCTTAGCAAAGAAGCTTGGTGCTTGAAGTTCCGTCTTGACTGCGTTCGACGGCGCCCTGACTTTGGGAGTCTATCTTCCAAGAACTTCGAGAGACGGCGAAGCTTCTCCACGCTCGCAAGTCCACCGATACAGATAGAGGATTCAAAGGGACGCGGTTCATCCGGAGGAGAGATTCATGATCTTATGAAAGACGGTGGACAGCAGCGTGGCGGATACCAAAAACCAATCTTTGCCATTTTTGTATAGTATTAGCGGCTTAACGGTAAGAGCTGCACTATATCTTGTCCCGATGTTTCACCAAGAATTGAAAAGCTTGTGTAGCTCCAGTTCCTCTAGGTATATCCACCCAACCATGAGAGACTCTTCCAAGAGCAATTTGTGAACGAATTGAAATGTATTAAATTCAAGATATCGCTGTATGGCTTGAAGAATAAGATTTTGTGCGCGGAAAGGGATGCTTGCTATCGGAACTCCGAGGAGTGAGTATAGACTTTGTAGTACTATTGTTCGTGGCTGTAGATTAGTCGGCGTTTTCCTCAAATTGTAGCTTTAACTTACTAAAAATGGTATCGACCTTCCCTCGATAACGTTCAATTAAACCTTTTACTGATCTGAGAGCAGTCTGTTAGAAACAGCTTCCAAATTGGTAAGACTAGTCGTAAGTTCATACCTCTTACTTATAGGCTGCAATCGCCAGAAAGATCTAGTCGAGATGCCCCCGGCCACGTACTAACTTGTTGTGGAAAAAGCAGTGCTATTATTAGGCTGACCTTATTCGTTAGTCGCTGTATTGTTCTGATACCGCTGTATAGAGGCACTTGGATGGTATCGTACCCACACGATTGGCCGCGGTACGGAAAACCTTTGACTATTAGAGCTTGATCTTCCGGCAGCTTTAGCACCTGTATATGGAATATACCTTGTCGCTGGCTCCGACTTTGACGCCTTGGACGTGTCATCCTGGAGTAAAAGGGAAGACGATAGGTCTGTTAGGTGGAAGAGGAACTAGAATATTAACGGGACTAAAGTTTTACGGACGAGTTTCTATGCGAAAGCGGCGAATTACTACGAATAATTACGGGATTCATGTAAACATTGATTGCTTGCGACCCAGGGTACTAACAGCGTATGATTGTAACGTTGCAACGTCGCGAGGTGGGTGGCGAGAGGAACCAGAACCTGGCTTTTGGTAGCTCAACATGTTCATATGGTCGTCCTGGGAACTGGTATCGGTTCCTATCGTTGGATTTGCAACAAGGTGTAAACATTTTATCAGCTCTCTGCCAAAAAAGACAATCATCATCCTGGACTTGAGAGCATCCTCATCGTGTCTGCGACATCAGGTAATATAAATTCATTTGAAGGCAACATTAGTTGGCTGCGAGCATATATAGGAAAGAAGTATCATTTGAGCTGTGCCTGGCTATAGTATGGGCATGGTTGATTCTAGCGAAACTAAGGGGTGGTGCTTGGGAAATCAAGCCAACCAAGGGTACCATCGAGCCACGGAGTCAGGAAACACTGTTTCAGCGTCTGTTCAAGCACTTCACATTTATCAACGAGACGGTGAGACTGAACGTAACTGCAATACAATATAAGTTTTGGCCAGTCTAGCAGAAAGTAAATGCTCGGATTTAACGCAGCCATGGTAGTGCTTGAAATCCCCACTCGCTGTTTATATATCAGACGTTTGAACCCAGCCCAAATCTGCCTGTAATCAACGTTGATATTGTTAGCACCTCAACAACATCACCCAAGAAGCCCAGCCGTTAATCAAATCAAAAGTCGTCATGTCGGGTAGAGATTAGATCAAAATAACTAACTAATATACGCTAATATAGTTATAGCCAATAGTTTTAGTGTATTAGCCTAAAAGGTGTACACCACTTCCTTCCATATATGCGAAGGGGCAGAGCGGCCAAAGCCCAAATGCCTGAAAATGCCTGATTTTACAGGTTGGTGCCTTAATTGACGCCTGGTTTTAGACCGCTTTGGACACCGCTCTATACTGTGTATTGTAAATTGAAGCTATTCGCACCGCACAAATATGCATATTTGAAATTGAAGCTATTCCCACCGCAATTTGCGGAGAGGATATGCGGATATCCATGGATATTGAGGATGTTGCCGCAGCCTACTGGGTCGAAGGGTACGACCCAAAACCCAACCCAGACTGGGTTGGGTCTGGGTTGTGTCTTGGTTTTACTGGGTCGTGCGGAAGACTAATGATAATGATACAGAGAAAACTGTATTGGACTCTGGAGAGGAAAAGAAGGAGAGAGGAAGCTATACTAACTAACTACTAGAAGTCCTACGATCCGGTGTCACGTGTCATATCACATGCTATCGCGTGATCTCTAACAGATATATAGTGTCGAATATATCCTAATATGCTATACGGTCGCACCCAATTAAAAAGAATTTAAAACACTATGATGTTTGATATATTGAATAGAACTCTACAAATTTCCGAACTGATCCTCTTATAGGAAGGAATTCTAGTCTACTCGTAAAAAGAATTCCAGTCTACTCATGGCCCCACTCTTTCCTCCCACAGTTAAGCCAAAGTCCTAACTTTAGTCTACTACACTGCGCTCACCCCCATAGTTGACCAAGTGACATTTCCGTATTGGTCAACAATCGACAATCCGCGCACCGAATTTCGTCTTCAGTGGTAATGGAAATGCATTTATGCGTTATCGATGGCAGTGCACTAAAAATTGAATTGTTAGCTACTGAAAGTGGTTCGAATAAAAGAAAGGTGTGAAGTCCTACCTTGCCGGTGCCTGCGGGGCAACAAGCAACGATGTTCTTGCAGGAGGGGCCATTGTCGGTGTCCTCGGTTTGAGCTGTGTCATGTTAGATGTTGCTTTTGGATGTCCAGAATTGGGCAGCTCATACAGAGGACATTGAGATCGTCAAGTGCGCTGGTCTTCGCGCAAGCGGCATTGTCGTTGCCGAGGAGGCCGTTTAGGGCACCCTTGGCGAGGAGGTTACCGAGAATACCATCGGCAGACAGGTTCTCCTTGGAATCACAGCAGGAGATATCGCCAGAGCTGCACTGGTCCTTCGCACCACCAAGGGCGACGGACTCAGAAAGAGACATGGCGGTGGCGGAGGCAGCCAGACCAAGGACGGCGGAGACAGTGAACTTCATGGTAGTGTTTAGGAAGGTTGATTAGATGGGGAAATTTGGAGTTTACGAAATAGATACTTTCTTTTGTTTGAGGTGATAGGAGCACCGACTTTATATGATGGCATTTGACTCTTGTTGAGTAGGCTTACGTATACCACTGCCACCGCAAAGAATCTGATGCCGGATGTGGAATCTCTCTTGTGCTGGGAACATATGAGGGACTAATGGCATGGAGTACGTCATCTCGGCGGTAGGGTCTCGGGAATGTCAATCTCGTAATCCGGAATGTGAATGGACGACGAATCATCAATACGAGATGACTATTGAACTTGAAGCTAAGCTTACTTTGTAGAGATTCCTTCTAGTGGATGACTCAATGAGATATTAGATGTTGACGTGGCAATAAATAAAATCCAAAGAAAATATAGAACGCCACAAAGCAAATCAAACTCTTGCTGTCCTATTAACGCAGCAGATATTGACGTTCGATCGTATAGAAGTCCATTTGCTGTCTGATCCAATTTTTGGGGGCGTTCAAGGGCGTTCGACTTTCCTGGGTCCTCGTGGTTCATTGGGCACATTTATTTCTAAGATTAAATGGAACAACTACTGGTGGGTTCTATTCAACTACAATCTTGTAGAAAATGCAACCTTATCTTAAGGTAGGGGAAAAGACTACGCCTAAAGAAGTTGCAATTTCAATCATATCATTTAGCCCTGCTGTTTTATTTCGGTTAGTTTCCTTTGAAAATGCCGAATGTAGGCTTAGGGTCCTAAATAGATTGCTCCGAGGAGTTGAACTAGGAGTGCTAGATTGACCCGTATACCAGAGAGCATACTGTCTGGAGCGGTCTCCTCTTCAATACCTGCCTTCCTTACAGCTCCATAGCTAACACAGTGTAAAGGATAAATCCATACAAACTGTCAAAGCCAGATCTCGGAGCGTACCGGAAGTGTGTGTGTGTGTGTGCGGGCGCACCCGGAGTACAGAGTGGGTTATGAATTGGTAATCTGGCATGTCAGCCATCAGGGTTGACAAGGTGGTCTTTTTGGTAGAGCGTTGGTTTCAGCGTTCTTCCCGATTAGATTAGTTAATGCGGTTTGTGCCAGATTCTTACCCTTTACATATATGCAGTTTGATCATACCTTCGCTGTCCTTAGTATACAGGTCAGTATCTCACTGCATCAGCATCTCGACATTTCAATCAGCCTGCTTTCAAGTCAGTTTTCGCTTCTTCTTGTTATTGTTCATTCTCATCGTTTCTTGACGATTCTTTCTAATCTGTCACAATAGGGGTATACGAGAAGAAGCATAAATAGGGGCTTCTTTCCATGTACGAAGAAGATAGACAAAATCAATTATTACTTTTCACAGTATATTGGAATTTTCATATTCATAGTATTTTTCATATACTATTTTTGATCTCACATACATGCTGTATAGAACGCTGTTCTATAAACAACATCCTTATCTGACCTACGATAGATGCATGGGATGGTTGGCAAGGGTTATGAGAGTTGATTCGTAAAAGCTAGTATATGATCTGGCAGAGGCCAGAGGGAAGGAGGAGAGAGAAGAATGTTGAATTCTCTATCTGAATGAGACTAGCTAATTCTATAGTAGCTAGCAAACATGTTCAGCCTGACAAACAAGACGCCAATAAGCTGCCTGCCTGTCACAACAGTATCTCGGGATGGACAGCAACCATTATACAGACTTTTAGTTGATCTAGTCAACACTACGTAGACCCTTGATTGATTTAATAAACACTTGGTCTTTGACACCTTTACTCCTGTCCGGAGTTGTCAATCGCGGTGCACTGGTTTTCAAATGTTAGGCAATAGCACGATTAGGTGTGGTTATTACTTTTGAACTCACAGTTGTGGTTCCCTCTGGGCAGCAAGCAATAATGTTCTTGCAGACGGGTCCCGATTCACTGTCCTTGATGGAGGCTTTGGAGCTGTCAGTGCCATTGTTCTGGATTTCTTATTTGACCGGGACTAAGTTGACTTACCAAGGATGCCCAGCTCATCGATAAGGCTAGTCTTAGCGCAAGGCGAGTTGGAGTTACCCAAAATACCGTTCAGAAGGCCTCCGGCGAGAAGGTTACCGAGAATTCCATCGGCCTTGGTCTCCTCTTCGGAGTTGCAGCAAGAGATATCACCAACGTTGCACTGGGACTTAGCATTTTCAAGAGCAGCAGAGTCTGAGAGCTTGGTAGCCATGGCAACGGCTACGGTGAGAGCAAATGCAGCGGCTCCGGCGAGCTTCATTGTAGCGAGGAGAGTATTAGGGAAGGTATTAAGAAATAGTTATAATGTATGCAATTTTGATCTGCGTTGAGATTGGACTACGAGAGAGTAGTAGCAGCTTTATAGCAATTTGTGAGACTGGCTTTGTATCACTCCTATCAGGTTGATGTAGAGTCTTGACCGTTTGCAGATTGGTACCAGGTAGAATCCTCCTTATTAGGTGGATACTTGATATGTCTAGGCATCATGATGGCTGTTACTTCAAGTCAGAGTGGGTTGGAAGCATACGATCGGGTGACTCTTCAATTACTGAAGGTGCCTACTATCGCACTCAGTAAACAAGCTAAATCAATGACAGCTAATCCTTTACGCAAAGGAATCTTGTATTTCTTTGATGTGCTGACTCCACCCTTTTGCGTTGCATGACCCGGAACCACAGGGATAATGCATTTCTATGATGTGTTGGCCCCACCCTTGCCTGGCATGTACCGGAACCACAGGGACAATGTATTCAAAAGGATATATAGGCATCGAATAATGTCTGATAAGGCATACACTTCTTCGTTCCCACTGATCAAAGCACTTTCAGGGCAAGGTATTTTCTCTTTTGGCCGAGATGACCAATCATGATGTCATACATTAAATAGACTCAACCTACAGATATCTAGGCCCTAAACAGGAACCTTAGTTTTAGTTATGGTCCAGTGGTAATGCGCTTTGTCCAAGAAAGACTGTTACATTGGTTCTCGCTGTATCTTGTAGTAACAGTGTCCGCTGTGTGTAAAATCAATCGAGACTCCGAAGTCCCGAAAGCTAGTTTCTTCAATCTTCCACGTATCATAAACCCTCAGAAAAATCGCAACGGTGAAGATATGTGAGGGGTACGGATTATGTACAAGTTTAGGTAAATGTGCTGGTCACTCACCCCTAGGGCGTTGCTGTTCCATTCGTCATCGTTCAATTCAACTGATCATAGGATGAATCTGCATTCGTTGAATGGTCCTGGAGGGGTTGTGGACCGAATTGGTAGAGTGGCTAGTCCAGGAACTGGGGCGAGGAGCGGACGAGAAGGGTGAGGAAGTAGGTGAGTGAAAGTTGAGGGTGGTTAGCGACATGGATTTATCTCAGTGGAGGGTGTCGCGTCAAGACGGAGATTGTTGGCAGAAGAAAAAACATATCGGGCCGGCGAGGGACTCTGGCAAACTCTTGTGCTGGTTAGATTGACTCTGGGAATCAATACGTTGAACCTGGGAAACTCAAAAGCATTTCTAGGAGCAGTCTATCCACTGGGAAATACAATTTAGCTCCTGGGGCGCTGACCAATTTCCAGGTAAATGAAGATCTACTTCTGGGATCTTTGCTCTACGTCCCTGACTGAATACAGACTGGCTCTGGGAACACATTGGTTAGATCTGGGGCCTCTTGCGCTCCGAGAACCCTACTTCTGGATCCTAGAGTCAATACCTTGCCTTCTGATGTCGCGGAAATCGCTCACAAGACACCTTCAGACATGCGCACAAATATGAGTCATCTGATCACTCTCAGAAGCAATGTGAGGGTTTCACGTATCCGTAGATGAGGACAGCGGATTCAGATCAGTAATTAATATTCAAGAAAGCTATAGTCGGCTCTATATACAAGACGTAGCGCGAGGAAGCAAAAGAAAGGTAGCTTCCTCGCGTTCAGGAACCCATGTACACCATGTGGGTCCCGCGCAGATCATATCTCTATCCGTTCCGTATGCATGCTTGATGTGTATCCTTGACAAGCCTTAGCCATAGCCCCAGGAACCACACTTGAGGTCCCAGGAGTTAATGAAGTTGATTCCTGGCGTCTATTTGGCTCCTGGAAGCCGCTTATATGCTCCCAGAAACCGCACTAAAGATTCCGGGAGCAAGAGAACTCCCAGGGCCAGGACGTGCGTGGGGCTGATAGAGTTGTCAACCGGAGAGCAATTGGTTTATTAATAGTGGGCAGCGAGAGTCTAGTTACGTACGATTTTCTGGGACTGTGGTGCCTGGGCAGCTCACATTTTTCTAGCGTGGGGGTTGGAAGCCTTCACGACTACCAGGGCTGTTAGATTAGATATTTACCCAGGGCAGGTAGTCATCTTCTTTTATATTATCGAATATTGCCTCGGCTTTAAGCTACACAGACTCTGCCTAGCGGGATCCGTGCGCAAGCTGACCGCCTTTGGTGGAGGAGGTTTTGGAGACCGTAACCCCCCAAGGACCATAGGACCTCCTTGGTCTCTCATAAGGGCCCCTGAAAATCGAGTGGAGGCCAGGGAGTACTCCAGCTCCTAGGAACTCATTGTCGAGCTTTAGGAACTAAGGTTTGTTATATTGCGTTGAGGAGTCCAGATCCTTTCCATCTATTGCTGACTGGGATTCTTGTTTTGAAAACGAGATTTACCTCCCGTAATGCGTGAGTTAGGAGCCGTAGAAAGAACCACATGGTTGCTTTCCAAGTAATCGATTCCCGCTTTGTAGGAACCTAGGCCGTTCCTGAATTGCTTATGATAATTTCATACCGCAGAGGAACCAACGTCATCCTAGGTTTTGATTTCAAATATTGCCACAATATGTGTCTTCTGTTACTGCACTTTCAAGATAGTCAAAATGTCTCTTGCATCTCTCGGTTTTCTATTCAAGTCATACACCAGGCCATCGCGAGTATACGCGAGTATACCGGGGCTCAAGTGGTGCCTCAGGTTCCAAATATTCCGTTGAAGGACATCTGCAGCTATCATGGACGAGGCCAGGGCGCCCTGGTGCCCCACAAATTGACAAATCCCCTGCTGCTTGACAAACGGCCCTCCAAAATGCTTCACAGTGCCACAGACAAATACTATCATGAGAATCATTCGCCTTAATGCGTGGAAGGAGTACAGCCCTTCAATTTCATGCACGCGGAATCTTGACTCGTGCGGTATGAGAGTAAGAGTCCCAACTAGACCTTGCCATATTGCTTTTTGGACTGCCCGTGGTCTATCTCCCAAGCCTAAAACCGCTTCATAGATAAACTACTGGTACAGTAAGATTTCAAAAAGGCTTCCCCTTCGAACACCTCACGGCTTGTCTCTCGGCCCGTACCCGAAACCACACTAATCCGAATTTGGATTTGGTATTGACCATGCTTGGCTCACAATACATGTCAGATTACCACTAGTCCTAATCCGAGCTAGTGTAGTGTCGGGTACGGGCCGAGAAACAAGCCGTGAGTGTTCTAAGGGGAAGCCGTTTTCGAAATCTACTGTAAATACAAGTTGACCGACTATATTGTTGGCGGTATCGTACTAAGGGGACGTACTGTATCCAATTCCGATATTCTTGTGGTATCGAATAGGGATCCCGTCAAGACTGTACCTTTGTTTTAAAACTGTTTTCGAAAATCGCTGTATGCCTGCTCGGCACCGGTTTTGGGACGTAATGTACAGACTGCAATCGATTTGAACAATGGCGGGACGGGCCGCGATGCGAACCCCTAAACCGCCCGACCGCGACGAATATAAAGAATCACCGCCACGATTATCGAGACCGAAGCGCACCACTAGACTACCAAATAGTTATACTCGAGAGTAGGAGATCGGCACCGAATAGAGAAAGACACGCTATTAACAGAGGAAGAAAACCTAAGATAAGCTAGTAGCCTAACGTGATATAGTAACTTCGGACAACTCTCCGATAGAGAGCGACGACCTAAGTGCTACCTAACTTATGAAAGAGGTTATTAAACTTAGGCGAGAGATTAGATAGCGAGATAAATTATATAAGGTAGAACTTTAGAAAGTTAAAGAAGAATTTAGTACCGCCCTCGCCGAAGTCTAATATAATCTATAGGCCCTAATAGGTAGACCTCTAATACTATAAGCCTACTCCGAAGTATACACTTAGAATAGCTATAATAAGATCCTCCTCGAAATCTAATCCCTATATAATATAATTAGCCCTTCTATTCCTACTAGTTCCCTATTCTATATAGATTTTACTTATATACCCTTAACTAGTTACTTAAGTAATATACGAACGCTTTTATAGTCGAATATAATACCGACTACCTTTACTAATATATTATACTATATAATAGATACCTCGAAAATAGCTAATAATAAAAATAAAAAGATATCTATAGGCCCGATCCGGGCGGCGGTTAAAATAGAGATCCGGACGATAGATGAGTATATATATTAGCGCTATCGCGCTATTATAGTAGATCCGAAAAACACCTACCGGATCTGAATAGTATATCGCGATAAAGCCGAACACTAGCTAGTTAAGAAAGTGGTGGAAGCGAAGATTGGTAAAGGAGCCTAGGTACTATATAACGAGCTATACCTAATCAAAGTCGATAGCGTTAATAGGGCTGTAGTTTTAGACGAAAAAGATGACGTATTATCTAACTAAACGTGAGAAAATAGGGCGTAGTGTATGATAGCTTAATAAATGATAAATAAACTCGAGACGTAGCGGTATTAGTGATCTAAGAGCCCTAAGCGAGGAGAATTTATAGTAGGCTTTTAACGACCCTAATAGGATATTATAAGTAGACGAAGATAGTTCCTTCTATCTAGAGGGAAGGTAGATAGATAATCCGAAGTATGCTATAGGTTAATAAAGATATAGAAACGGAGTAAGTGGCTATAGAATCCCCGGATCTAATAGCGGCGGTTATCTAGCTCTCTAAGCGATTAATTTTTATAGTATCGGTATATATTAAAGGGGGAGATACTTTAGCGTTAGGTAATATATATAATTACCTAAGAAAGGTAATTATAAAGGTATAGCGAGATATAAGCGCTATAATAGAGGTTATAGTTATAGGAGACTTTCACCGCTATAATTAACTTTAAGAAGAAGACGAGGTATCTTTAAAAAGATAGGGCGAGGCGGATCTAATTATTAATTTTATAAATAAGTTTCTTTTAGTGGTTTATTTAAATAGGGTATAAAGATATAGTATAGTAGTAGATAGAGCGGGGATTATAAATCGATTATCGACCTTATCCTAGCCTCTAATAATTTAATAGATTTAATAACTAAATATATAATATATAAGGTAGAGTATAGCTCGGATCACTATACTATTAGGACTATATTCGATATACTATATTTAGCCTTAAAATATTAGGAACGATTTCTACTAAAGGACGTACTATAGAAAGAGATTAATACTAGAATTATAAATACTCTAACCGCTACTTTATTAGGAGGTATAGTATAGTAGAAGACTAACCGCTTTATAATAGCGGTTAGTAAGATAGTATATACTTTAACTCTAAAAGTAAAACTATTACTATATATAAAACGATAGTAGATAGCCGATTTAATATCGCTATACTATATACATATATATATATATATATTAGCGAAATATATTTATTTCGAGCGCTAAAATAGGACGAAAAGTACTATATTTAGAAAAGATAGTCTAAAGTACGATAAAATAATATTATAATACTATCTATAAATAAAAGAAGAAGTATTAGAATAAGTTTCTTATAGATAATAATAATATCTAGAAAGCTACTAAATATCTAGAGTTAGGAAAGGACGCAGTATCTAAGAAGCTACTATAGCTTATTAAAGTAGATAGGACTACTATTAGAGACTATTAAAAGTAAGTAAAAGAGCTACTATCTAAATTCTTTCCCCCTCTATCTAATATTATTAATAATAAGGGGACTAGATTATAAAGAGAGCTAGTAGAAATATCTACTATTAGCCTAAAGGAAGTAGAATAATAGCTTTTTATAGCGTAATCTTAAAAGGCGCTAGGTAAAGATAGTCTACTAGCGATAGTTTAGAAGATAATATAGCCTATAGTTAAATATAGGGTTCTCGACTTATTCTAGGCATTACTAGAAAAAGGTATATTACTAAGATAATAGAGATATATAAAGATTATACCGCTTAAAAAGCTAAATAAAGAAAACTATACTATTATAAAGATATAAAGGCCAATTTCGCTCTTTATAATACTAGGTAAGATACTAGAATTTATAGTTATAGATAAGATCTTATATACTATAGATATATATAGTTTACTCCTAACTAACTATTTTAGAGCCTAAAAGTAATAGTCTATAGAGTAGGCGTTTATACTTTTATAAAAGTAGATTTATATAGTATAGTGTGGCCGATAGATATTAAGTTTAATTAGCTTCGATATTAAAGGCGCCTATAATAGGGTATATAAAAAACGACTACTTTATAGAATAAAAGTGTAAGGTATACTAGTTAACTTAATCTAGTAGATCGAAGCGTTCTATTCAGAATGAATAGCGACTATCTAAATTAATAGGTAAAGGTTAGAGGTCTAGAGCCTCCTATAGGCTAGCCTACTTTAAAGCTCGCCTCTATCTCTAATCCTATTCTTTTTCTTTAATATAGACCTTATATAAAGATAGATCGATAGCTAGGGTAGAGCGATAGTATTTACAGATAATTTTACTATATAGGTAACTAGGCTAACAATCAAAAGTAACTAGGAAGGTATTAAAGTAGTTATTAATAAAACGCTCGGTTAGGAGAAATAGAATAGAGCGACCTTTAAAATAGATAAAATAGCTATTATATACTTTACTCCTAAGGCTTATAAATTAGACTAAGAACCTTTTACTATTAAAGGATAAACCGTTACGCTTAAGGATTATATTAAGATCTTAGGCGTCTTTATAGAGATAAAACTTAAATATAAAGAATATATTATAAAGGTAGTATCTAAAGGCCTAGAGGCCGCGATAGAGCTTCGATAACTTTAAAGTTTATCCCTAGCGATAGTACGATAGCTATTTATATTAATAGTAGCGCCGGTTATAGACTATACGTCTAATATCTAGATATATATATATAAAAATAAGGCTATAGGGCTAATAAACTATATCTAAAGGGTAGGAGCGTAGGCGATTATAGGAATATTCTTTATAGTTATAACTAGTATAGTAGAAGCGGAGGCCTACCTTACTACTATTTAATACCGTTTCTAGAGATAAGCTATAAAGAAATAGATAGATATATATACCCTATTAGAAATTAACCCTCTTTATAAGAATATAGTATAGATTAAGAAATTTAGAAGATACTATCGTTCGCCGCTATATTAAGTAGTAGATATACTTAAAAATATTAAGATAGAAATACTAGAAACTATTAATCCGTTTATATTAGTACTATAGGAAGTACGTATATAGGCTAATATTAAAGTAACTCTATAGTTACTAATTATACTAGGTGGGTTAATATAGATAGTAACTAGTAGTTCGGTATAGAACGATTTAGTCGGATTTAGGGTAGCGATTAAGAGATAGCTATCTTAGTATCGAAAACTAAAACTAAAGACTCGTTCTATTATATTAGATATAAGAGTAGAGTAAAACCCGTTCTCTATAGAGCTAGTGGCGATAGTATAGCTAGGAATTTATCTATAAACTATATAAATTAATAAAAAAGCTATAGAGAAATAGAAACCTAATTAATATCTAATAGATCTTAATAAATAAAGATAATAAACTATAGGGTCTAGCTAAAGAATAAGCTAGAGCTATAATATAAGAAGATACTCTCCTATAAAAACGCATTCTAAGAATAAAGTTAGTAATACTAAATATTATATAGTCCTAAGTAGTCTTTAGTAATAACCTATTAGTAAATATAGGGAGTTATATAAAATAAGTTAATATAGCTCTCTTAAGTAAATATATCTAATAGCTATATAACCGATTATCTTAGAAAGAAGCGAGCGTACTAGCTTAACTCTAAGCTAGTATAGCGAGAGAGAAGGCTACGCAGGAATGAAATGATACAGGGGAAACTGTATTGGACTCTGGAGAGGAAAAGAAGAGAGAGGAAGCTATCTGCACTAACTACTGGAAGTCCTGGGACCCGGGCTGTCACGTGACAATCATATACTGATCACGTGACTGCTCCAACAGAATTAGCGCTATTTATATAAATATATTATTTTTATTATTATATCTATTTACTATTTTTTAGCCTAGGTAAGCTCTTTATTAATTTTCTACTATTTATATAATACCTTTTACTACTATATAGATAACGTCGACTAGCCCTATTAGTATTATATAGATATAACTTTAGAACGTTATAGGTATATTTAATAGGCCGAAAGGTATAACTATATATTTAAAATAGCTATATTTTATTCTAAAAGCTATTTTCTATTCGTTACTTTTTTATAAGCGAATCCGGTAGTAAATATCTTTAATATCGACTTTACTAAAATACTTTACTTTTAAAAGGCGGTTAAAGATTTCCGAAATAAAAGATAATAGGTAGCGATTCTTAATCGAAATATAATTAAAACCCTAGTAATCTATATATAAATATAGACCTCTATCTTTTTTTAGAATAAATAGGATTAATACTCCTATTAGACTTTTTAATAGTCGGATTCTCCCTTTTTTAATATTATCGATAAAATAAGCCTATAACTCTTTAAGCTCTATTTATAAAAGAGGATAAATCGGACTATAAAATAGAGTTTTACCTTCTTTAAGCTTAATTATATAGTTAGAGGTCTTTATCTTTAGTAGTATACTAGCCTTTTTATAATTAAATATATTAAGATACTTTTCTAATTTAAAAGGGATTCGGTCCTAATCTAGTTTAGATTCGCCTATACTTTTATTAAATAGCTATACTTCTTTTAGTATTTTAATTAGAGTATAGATAATAATAGCGTTTCTAGATTATTTTATAAATTTATAAGATTTCT